GTTCTAGTGAGTTCGAGAACCGAGGTACCACTGTATTCGTATATAATACAAATGTACTTCCTTCACTCTATTCATTCCACAATTTGATGGCCTTAAATGTGATTTATATGATTTTTACCAAGAATTTATAAAAATGTACAGCTGCATTATCATGGTCTGTATTTAATCATCTCCTTTGCTTGAATGTGTGTGAAGCCCAGTTTTCCAAATAAGATTCTGTTCCTGAAGGCAGAGAAAAGAGTGACCAAGGCCCTGTCTGTACACGATGGAAGGGCTATTAAAGAAGGTACAGAAAGAGGTGTCCTATCCATCCATCAAGTAACTAACACTCAAGTGTAACCACTACAATTATAACATATCAGTAAAAATTTTAAAAATTCATGATAAAAAGTAAAAACTTTACAAAAATTTACATTAAGATAACAAAAAATGTTAAATAACAAAAGAAGTATTGCACAATACAAATGCCGGTTCCTGCTCATGTCTATGGAGCAGCATGCTTTAATGCTATGTCCCCTTGTTCCGTCATTGTTTACCTCTCAATCTTGTGTATTGTACCAGATATCTGACTTCAATGTCACTGCAGTGTGTTAAAATAACAGTACAATAATCATTAATGTGTATATAAAAGGATTAAATTGCTACAATTAAGTGACTTTCATGAGTAACATTCTACTATTCCATGTTGCTGGATACAAGAACTTTTACTGTAATCAAATTTCTGATATCAGGAATTTAAGTCTAACTAGTTATAAATGTATTGTAACTAGTTACAATTGATTTCTTGATATCAGAAACTGGCATTTAACTAGTTCAAATTCCAACTCCCATTGAAAAGAAGAAAAACGGTTTGAATCTCACTAGTTAAAATAGAATTTCTGATATCAAGAATTGCCATTATAACTAGCTACAACTGAATTGTTGATATCTATGATATTCTAACTGAATTTGCGATATCCTCTACAAATATTTAAAGTTAAAACGGCTTGCCATAAAAGAGAGGTGACATAAAACCAAGGAGAGGTTAAAAGACAAACAGCCGAGACTGTGCCGCAGGGAAGAAAACAATGTGGTTTCACAAAACAAAAACGACCTCTAGCCAGAGGGCAAAGGTATTACAGGTCAATATCACTTTCGACTAAGTCGACTAAAGGTCCGCAGAGGGGCAATTGGCAGTGGCCGTAATGAAGCTGCAAATTCCTGACAGTAAAAAACAGCAGTGCTAAATAAAGCGACAGCATGTAGCCAAGTACATGATTGCGAACATGCAAATAGCTGCATTACGCTCATGCAGCCTAATCATCCGGACAAGCGGCATTTCAGAACCGGTCGAGACGCATTGCTCGAGGAGGCGCTGGCGTGACGCAGCTGTCTTTCTGCTTCTCTCCCTCCAAAGACAGACTTGTGAAAATTAATTCAAATTAGCTACTACATACTCATTAATCATACAGCTACTACAGCAAAATGACCCGAGTCAAGTGTTTAGTAAAGTGGAGAAATTTAGATAAATATCTGATATGTTTGGGTTCAACATGCTATAATGCAAGTGCTATAATGCATTGCTATAATGCAAGTTATTGGAAACATATACTTTCATCCCAGTGATATTTTAAAATATAATCTGGATCATTTAAACCGTTCACAACTTTATACGTATTTACTAGGCCCTATTTGTTACCTTACAAAGTAAAACAGATGTTTGGAATTATAATTTCTGCAGTCGATTATTATAAACAAGCGCTGAAATTACATTTTACCTTTAGAAGTTCTCCTGGTAATTCGAGCACTTAAATTGTTCAATGGTCCTTAACGCGACAACTGATAAAAAAAAAAAAAAATATACAGTCTAAGTAGCTTTCGTATAACCTGTTGTTAGACAAAACGACCGTGTACTTCTACAGACTTCCGTTTTCTATCTCCAACATATATCATGTGATGAGACAGACCATCCCAGGTAGACACAATGAGTCGAATCAAATAATTCAGCAGATTTTTGGACAGTAGTTTATCAACAGAAATTATCAACCACTGTTTATCGAGCATGAGTTTGTTCAAATACAGTTAACATAGTGGTGGATCATTAACTGAATTCCAATGCAAATATATTTATGCTGTACCGTTGTTCTTAAACTTTAGGTCTGTATGTCGAATTCATTTATAGCTGAAATGATTCAATGTACGTAAATTTTGAGTCTGAAGTTTATAGCTAGGATAAATGTTGCCCGACACAGACTATTCAAGCCGAGTACGGTACAAATGCAGCATTCTTTTTTTCCAGAAATGAAAATCACATGCTGGAGCAATGCACGTTTCTTCAGCAGTAAAAATTCTACACGTCTTCGATTATTCGGGGGTCACCACAAATGTTGTTTGTATATGAGGGGCGAAATTATTCAATAATTAAATAAAAACTAAATAATTAAAATATATAGGTCTATAATTGATTTAATATATCGATTAAAAAATAATGTAGGCTTGAGAGGTAAGGAGCGCTTGCTGATTATACTGCATTACCGCACCCACCAGGGATGAGAAACCCAGTGCCGTCATGCGGTGGGACCACATTAGCACCACATTAATCCGAATGGAGTGTGAGATTTTTCCAGTGGCTGGAGTGCCCATCCTGCCACCAACCCCCAAATTTTCCCTGTGGAGGACCTGCTTGCAGGGCTGCATGAAGATGACCGTTTTTCAAAAATCCCTTTAAAAAACGGTAATAAAATAAATGACAATTTGGACATAATCTGTTCCAAATTAAATAACTCAAACTTATTTTTTAAGATTTTGGAGTCAAAACCCCTCACATATTTAATATGAGACCTTAGTTTAATGATGACACCGCATATGACGTTGGGACAACAATATGTGGTTTTCTTGAAAACTTAAAAGTTTGAGTTGCCCTCAAAAATCTAGTGCAGTAAACTGTTTTTAAATTTTAATTTGTCTTCTTTTTTACAGCGATAACAGACGGGGCTGGGGGTTCGTCTCATTAAATTAACCAGAGAATTAAAATTCTGAAAGAAAAACAACGGAGAGACCAACGGAGCAATGAAAATTAACAGCAACAGGTAACGACACATTCTGATAACTGCGATGAAATGTAGCCTTAAACGTCTACTCCGATAACAACACTGCTAATTTGTGCCACTAGAGGTCACTTGCCTCACAATCGTACAACTTTTGTCTTTTAGTGGGTTGAGTGTTTAGTCTGTCGCATATATCAACAAAACGTAACCTAAATTGGAGGTATTTTGATCTTTAACTGCAAAACTACTAGTCTAGAAGATTCAGATTCAGATGCTTTATTGTCATTGTTGTTTCCGCAGCAACGAAATTTAAAGATGCATCTTCTCCAGTGTCACAACATCAAATCAATAGACAAAATAGTAACAATAAAACAAAATAAATCCGATAAATAAGCAGAGACTAGCATGATAAAGCGGTCATACCCCATAGTTTCAAGATATTGCACGTTTCACCTATTGCACTTGAAAATAGCAGCATTACATTTAAGCAATGATCCAACTTAGTTGTATACATAAGACTATATTGTAAACATGAAGGTGCCCTTGATCACATTGTCAGCTTAGCAGCATTTAGCATGGTGATGGCTGAAGGATAGAAACTGTTTTTTAGTCTGTTGGTTCTGGTTTTTATGGATCTGAAACCTCTCCCTGATAGCAAGCGTTCAAACAGTACATGTCCAGGGTGTGTACATGTCCTGAAGCGTTTTCTTGATGTCCCTGAGACAACAGGAACTGTGCAGTTCTTCAAGTGAGGGGAGAGAGCAGCAAACTATCTGCTGGGTGACTTGATTGACCCGGTGGAGCTCTTTCCTCTGTGCTACTGTGTAGCTGGAGAACCATGCACAGTTGGGCAGGATGCTGTCTACTGCACAGTGGTAGAAGGACACCAGCAGTTTCTCAGGGATGTTGTTCGTGCTGAGAACTCTCAGGAAGTAGAGTCTCTGTTGGACCTTCTTAACTAGTTCAGCAGTGTGTGTTCCCCAGGTGAGGTCTTCCCTGAGGGTGACTACCAAAAAGTGGAAACCTGAGACCTTCTCCACACAGTCCCCATTGATGGTGAGTGACTGGGTGTTGTCTACCGTCTTCCTAAATTCCACAATGAGCTCCTTGGTCTTGGCTGTGTCGTTCTTCCAACACCATGCTGTCAGCCACTCCACCCCCACCCAGAAGTGAGTCTGAAGTTTATCACATTCTATACATAGGGCACAGAATATCTAACTTTGAGGTGGTATTTTTGAGGTACAAATGAAGCTAAAATAGCAATGACTCATTAGTCAAATAGACCCTTATTAGTCACTACAAAATTGTAATCACTTCAGCATAAGACTGAAAAATGTATACATTACAAATACATTTTTTTTACTAAAGGAGTATTTTTTAGCTTTAAATTCTCAATTACAGGAAAGGCAAGCAAGTGGCGGGGCACACATTTATTCCCACAACATAAACATGGAGGTAAATTTAGAGGTTAATGAAGTGTAATGCAAAAGTAGAGTATCACATCATAAACATAGCATTTTACATCCCTGAACTTACTAAATACTGTAAAGTCTTTTTTAAGTTTACAAAATTATTGGAAAATTATCATATGTATAATTAGTACAATTAATTTTTTTAATAATTTTGTTAAATTATGACATTTAATCTATTTATTTGAGTAACATATCTGTTAGTCAACTTTTTTGCCAAATATAAACTGGAAATTGAGCAATATCTCTAATATGCAAAGGGAACAGTAGCTACTGCCCCCCTGATCCTGAACTGGGAGAGCATCTGCAAAATGGATAGATGGACAGATGGATGCAAGGCTGGATCTATAAATTCTGGGCCCCCTGACAAAATGTCACCTTGCCACAAAGCAGTTTCACAGAAATGACTATTCATCATTGTGCAATATATGCAAATATGTGTAATAACCTATGATAAATTGTCACCTGTAACTTCTGTACTTCATGTTCTTGTGCACATAGGCGGGCTCTTTATAATTTATTTATTTAATAGTATGATAACCTCGATGTATTGTTTAATTTTATATACTATCTACTTCTTTTGTGTATTGTTTACATCTTGTATATATTGTTTTCTTCATTGCATCAGATTTCGAAGTCAGTAACGTAATCTCTGTAACAAAATGACAAAACAAGCTTTGAATCTTTGAATATCTTTGAATCTACTAGCGGCATAATCATATACGAATACTGTGTAGCACAGTATAGCACTATGTAAGTGGTTGTGGTTGGGCAGCGGCTAATTCAAATATCATTGGTTGTAGTCTGACGACGCCCCGTGACGCAATTTCCTGCGACATGAAATAAGGCCCTACCCTGCGCGACGCCGCGGACCGCTATTTAAGCTTTGTCCGTATCTTCGACAATAATTAGCGGAGACGTCGACTTGGATAAAAGGCGTGTTTAGAGGCATTGTGCAATTGCGTCATATGTCGGGGAAAGTATTGCATGGATTGTAGCCATGCGGGCGGCTGTCCGTGTCAGGAGATCTGTGTTTTTCACGATAAGGAAACCATGATCTCCCCGTCGCTTCCCAGGTAGGTTGCCTGAACCCGAAAAAGCCTCTGGGCAGGTGGTATCCATTTGGCCGCCTCTCTCTATATTGGATTTACATTTTATTGTGTATTTGTTACAAGGAATTGGTTCTCCATTGTGTATTAATACTCATTAATTGTAGGTGGTGCGAACTGTAGTACAATGCTGTGACGTTTAGTATTATAAATACGTGGATAACTGCTGCGTACTCGATTCTTTCGTATTTGGGTTATCCTCCCAGATTCTTATAAAGTCAACGTTGCACTCTAGCCACTGAATATTTTCTTGGGGCCAAACAAAATTAAGGTTTGTGGATAAGGTTCTGCCTGAATGTCAACGTTGATTCAGGATATACATCTATTATTAAATTAAAACCATTTTATCACTACTTAAAATATTAATTGTTGGATGTGAATAGCAAGACAAAATCTTTTTGTTAACATTTTTGTAACATGTCGAGTGATTGATATGTGTGAGGAAATATGCGTTTTAGCCACGGCGTTTGTAGTATTTTGCAGATGAATTAATGCTGAAATAGGCGTTTTAACCCAGTCCTGTTAGACTTTGTGCATCATCAGTGACGCTGTGGGACAGCATTTTGGGTCTCAGCTAATTATTTGGTGAAATGTTTCAGTGATGGCTATAAGGGCATGACATTGAACTGCACAAGGATTACTGTTACAAAAGTGTCATATACTAATAATTCTTAATTCATGAGAGAAGGTTGCCTTGATTTATAAAGTGAGGATAGCTGGTGAGCAGAGACTAATTTCTCATAGTTCCCAGTAGTATGTTTCACTTGATCACCACCGCTAGAGAGGGGTACTGTTGCGGGTCTTGAATTACCGGGTGTACTGTATAAACAGTAGTCCTTAGTCCCGGTCTGTGTGACCTCGTGCTGTTCACAGTCCCTCAGACAGCTGAATCCACTTCTGACTTACGGTGGTGTTCCTAACACCCACAGCAAGGATTTCAATGTACATTCAGGATAAAAGCCTGAATTTATGTAGATTCTTAATTGCCGTCCTTTCTTAGGGTAAATGTTTTCTCTTGTATGGAATTTACTCTAAAGGTGGAGACAAGTCTGCGTGGAGAGTCTTTGTAGATGTGTTTGTTGGGCGGTTTATAGCGGTGTTCAGAGTGACGTTTGCAGGCTGATTTAATGAGCTGACTGGAGATCTCTCCCCCTCTTTCTCTCTCATGCTGGCATTGCAGGAGATGTTAATGAACGAGCTATAAAAAAATTACCCAGAAGGCCGGTGAGATCTCGGGGGTCCCACACGAACGTCCCGCCCACCCCCTGCTCCCCGGATCACGGCGCCAACATGTCCACGGCCATGGACCACAGCCCCACCACCGGGGTGGTGACGGTCATCGTCACCCTCATCGCCATCGCTGCCCTGGGCGCCCTGATCCTGGGCTGCTGGTGTTACTTGCACCTGCAACGCATCGGGCAGCCCGAGGACGAGGAGAGCATCGTGGGCGAGGGCGAGGCTAAGGAGCCCTTCCTGCTGGTGCAGTACTCCGTCAAAGGCCCACGGGTGGAGCACAAGACGAAGCTGACCCCAAACGGCACTGAAACCCACAGTTAGCACGTGTACATGCGCGCACAAACACCTGCGTACCACCTCCCAATCTGCAGTCCTTTCCTAGTCTACATCTCCAATAATACAGCAGTATTGATGTAAAACTAGCTCCTTTAAATGGTCTTCACACCAAAAGGAAGCACGCATCCAAAGTAGAGGAAGCACTTAAACACTGGATCAACTCAGCCTTGAGTAATCAGCACCTTTGCTGTTATTTTCTTCTGTTTCTAGCAATCATTTGTGTTTAGCATAGTCTGTGAAATTATGTTTAAACTATTGATAATACTGTTAACCTTTGACTGTTATGTATATCGTACATCTCAGTAAACGTGATGGATCATCAGTTTTATTTCAGTGACGAGCAGTCAGACTCCTGATCCGGGATCTTCTTCCAAGGAGTGCCAACTAATCGTGGATGTTGTACATTTGCTTTGTATGTTGATATGATGACGATGTTGCTGTTACTGCCCTGTGTAACCTGTGCTGGCATGCAGATCATCAGGGCCCACCCCACCCCCCTTCCGCACGAACGTACTGGTTTGGTTTATTAGAATTGCTGCCTTTATGGGGAAAAGTGGGAGGAGTCTCACTTGAGGAGGGAGCCTATGACTGATGTCCAGGATGATGTCGCCCTGGAGCATCCCGAAGGTCTTCAGTCCTCAGTTTGTGTCTGTGACTTCACCCTTGCCTGTTTAATCTGTACAGTCCTAAGATTCTGCACTTTTTTCCCTTACAATTTGTAAGCTTGATTTAAGGGATGATAACTTCCTTTATTTGATTTTGTGAAGTATGTTGATTTTTGATGCCTGTTTAAGGAACTGTGGAATAAACATATTCATTAATTAAAAAATTAGTTGGAAAACCCTGGAATGAAAGCTGTCGCGATTTATCTACACCATGAATTGGCACGGATGCACAAGTCTGTCAGGGAAATGTGATCAGCCGGATGCAACATAGCAATTCCTCTTCAAAGGAAATTATACCTACTTTACAGGAGGAGGAATTTGATGGGTAAACCAACAAAGTCCCTGCTGACAAATGAACCTACAACTTTGGGGGTGAGGCGTCCAAGTCGATGCCCACCGTGCTACATGCCGCCCTAGCAGTGTGTGGCTCAGTGGGTTTGGGATCCGTGCCCACGTCCTGAAGGTTGTGAGTTCAAATCTTGTAGCCAGCAGCATAACTATCACTGTTAGTGCCACAATCACAACCCTTAACCCCAACTACCGCAAAGATGTTTGAAACTCAGTTTTGATCCATTTACATCATAGACACCTGCTAAATAAATATCAGCCATGACAGTCTACCATTGTCATCTAGAATATCATCATAGAGTGGCAAACCTTTTGTAAACATAAGAATTGTAAACGGGTCACAGATGGCTCCTTAAGTTGATAAAAACGACATTTATAAACAAGGGATCAGATCATTCTTCTACAAACACTGGCATAGATTAAACGGTTTAATCAGTAGAAATCTGTGCAATATTCCTCATGTAAACAAATGCAGCATTTTGCCTGCAGACATACCCAAAAAGTTGCCTAGTGATTTATGTAAAAATAGATTTTTTTTTGTTAAATTAACAAAGGAACATAAAAAAAAATCACCGTGGAAGAAAAACAAAACCAAACTGATAACCCAAGCAGACATAAATAATTTCCAGATATACATCTCGGGTGTCAGCAGCCCATCGTGAAACAGTCTGTTCCGGAAGCATCAGGAGTCCTCCTGGGTGCTGAGGTCATGCTTTGCCCTTTAGGGGGCGCCGTCGTCCCCCCGTGGCTCCAGAACCACCTCCTCCCTCATGGAAGCCATGAGGACCTTGAGCAGGGCGTTTTCGGTGATCAGGTTCTGCGAGGCGTCGGCCAGCGCCTGCAGCTTTCCGGCGGCGTCCAGGAGCTGCCGGTTCTTCTCGCGGTATAGCTCCTCTAGGTGGCGCCCTCGCTCGCGCAGCTCGGCGTTGCGCGACTCCAGGTCCCGCGCGTGCAGTGCCAGCCTCCGCTTCTCCTGCCACAGCTGGGACAGCTGCTGGGAGAGCTGCTCCCGGGCCCTCCGCAGCGCCTCCACCTCCTCCCGCAGCCGGCGGAGCTCCACCTCCAGCAGGCCGCCCCGGTCCGACCCCGCCCAGCCTCCGCGCCGCGGCACGTCACCTGCGTGACGCAGCAGGAAGCGCACCAAGTTGGGCAGCGTGATGGGGAGGTCGTCAGGGAACTTGACACTCAGGTGCTTCCTGTAAGAAGAGGTAGTCTGTACGTCAGGGGCGGGCAGTCTTATCCAGAAAGGGCCGCAGTGTGTGCGGGTTTTCGCTGCAATTCACCAATTAGATTATTAATTAGAGGACTGATTGGCTGAAGAGTCACACTCACACTTGCGTTTGAACAGCTGGCCTACAGGTTATCCCAAAAGCCTGCACACACACCGGCCCTTTGCGGATAAGATTACCCACCCCTGCTGTACATGCAAGAGCTTCATGAGAACCTGTTTCAGATGAATATTCTCGCCTGTGAGGGGGGCAGCATGGTCAGGGCCTTGGGGCCCTCAGTCATCCCGACCTGGCCCCCAGAATCCATCCCATACTCAAAGGGCAAGTGTGTCAGTGAGTTTTTGTAACTACTACATTGTGGGGACCAGATTTCTCTACAATGAGATATAGAATAGTGGCCAAAAACAATTCCAATTTTTAGAGACTGCAGAGCTTCATCTATTCAACTTCAACTAATTGTCCAATATATGATATATGTAAACATTCTTTGATTACTGATGGTAACGTTTCTAAACAATCATGTATTAGTGTAAATGCCAAAACTGGTAGGTGTTTCCACTATTTGGCCACTAGTGTAAACCAGTAACGTCCAGGGACATTTTTTCAGTCCCCACAAAAATGAACCTCAATTATATAAAAATCTGTGACTGCAATCAAAAAACTAAAATTGCCAAAAGAGTTATATTTTGTTTGGTACTTATGGTTAGGGTCAGGGTTGGGATTAGGGTTTGCCGTAGAAATTAATGGAGAGTTACTAAGGTGTGTGTGTGTGTCCTGCAGCAGACTGGCATCCCATCCAGGGTGCCCCCCAGCCCGAAGATGACTGGGATTGGCTCCAAGTCCCCCTACTGTCCCAATTGAAAGTCGTAGATGCAATTAGTTTCTGCTTTAAACAAACCTTTGGCACAAAATCATTGCTGAACCATAAAGCATATTCAGACTCTCACTCGCTCATTCACACGCCACACTCTCCTTTTTTAGTCTGTGGGGCAAGGTGGCCGGGAGTCATAGCAACCTCACAGCATCTGCCGCCATGACGACAGGCATCCTGATCAAAGACCCAAAGACCTGATCACCTCAAATCAAAGACCCAAACCGGGAATTCAGAACTAGACGTCATACTCTGTGGCAAACCTGCTTGCTAATGCTTAGTGTACTTAATAATGAGGCCACTTTCTTACGGAGGAGATGCTGGAATTAAGCTGACGATAGGAAGACCTTACTGTAGAGCAGGACTATGCAAATCAAAGTTCTCAAGGTCCCAACCCTACTGACTTTCAAGCCTTCCTTCACCTGTTTGGTCAGAGGCTTCACACCTGGCTATCAGAATCAATAATTATTAAATAACTACCTGAATTGAAAACAAGGCTTAGATATGGAATCGAGGTCCAGAGCTGAACAGCCCTGCTGTAGAGCATCACTTAGAGGTCAGAGACAATGGAAAGAGCGTTTCACCTGTCCCTGGGGAAGAGCAGGAAGACTGGGAAGTGGTCCACCATAAATTCCCAAGGCAGATCGTTCTGAGCGACGTTGACTCTGCATTGGGGAGAGACTTGGCATTAAACAGTGTTCAAAGTATCAAGCTAAAGGCACAAAGGTTCACTTCTCAGTTTGCCACTGAACTGCGAGCCATATGATCAGAAATTCCCGCATCCTCCCATCTTGCAGAGCCTTCCCTCTTACCGGGCTACTGTAAACTTCTCGTTTCCCCGGAACAGCTGTGCGAGCTGGATGAGGACGTGGTTGAGGACTGTGCAAAAGCCACACCAGTGTGTGTAGTAGAAGAGGAGCACGTCCTGGGTGACAGAGGAGACAGAGAGGAGACGTCGGCATTCACACCAGCAGACATGCTCACGGTGGCGGTTTGGGAACATCAGCTCACACGCGGGATTAAACACAATTCAAAACGAGAGGTCACTGATTTTAGGGTCTCCGAGAGCCTGAGAGAGAAATTTTTCCACAAACCATTTGAAGTCATGAATCACACCAGAACTACTGCTCAGCATAAATATCTATGCGAACCAAAAATAGTGCTAATATCTAAATATATACATGAATAAGGTTTATAAAAGACAAAATCCCTTTACTCGATAGCTTTGTGTTACGATTTGCTGAATACTTAAGCCGTCAGTAATGTGCAACACAGATAGATTTTAAGAACGGGGAGCTGGCTTGGGATGAAAAACGGCACGTGGTGACGGATGGATGCACCGCTGCGGCAAGACAGCCCAGGACTGCAGAGAAACAGCCCGTCCTCCCTGGAGGCAGGAGGCAGAGAGAGCAGACGGCCAGGCCCAGAGCAGCGCAGTGCCGCGGGGAAGCGCTAACGGCCGTTAGCTGGTCATCTGCTGTCCTGGCAGCACAGCAACAGACAAGAAACAGACGAGACACAAGCAGGGCCGGCTAAGCTGCCTAATGGCGTATACACACAGGATCAGAGGTCACTAGGCTGCAGCACCAGCCACCCAAACATCAGTGTTTATCCAGGGCGGTCACTCTCACAGGGGACGAGGCAGGGGACGCCCTGGACAGGATTCCAGTCCATCACAGGGGACGAGGCAGGGGACGCCCTGGACAGGATGCCAGTCCATCACATGGGACGCCCTGGACAGGATGCCAGTCCATCACAAGGTTTCCAGATAGAGTTACCGA